AAGCAATGCAATATAGAGTGAAGTACAAAAAGGTATAGACATACCGTACTACTAACTATGTACAATTGAAAATCACTTGCAATTACCCCCAGCATGCACTTCCTCTAACACACACATTATTGATGTCTAAGGAGAATCGATAGTTTGGCTCATTAATTGTGAGTACTTTTCCTAATTTCCTAAAAGACAGGGCCTTTTTCTGAAGTGATGAGTCATTCAAGCTTATTTTGAATAATATGTCAACAGAGAGAAGCATTTGCTAATTGGCTTTCTGCATCTCAAACAGGTGGCATGTCTGTATAATTACCACATTGCACACAACTAGAACATACATGATTAATAATACAAAGACAAAAGCCAAAAATGACACTTCAAGCCATTTCTGTGGTTAAACAAACCATTTTATTCACATTTGTAAACACATCAATGCTTCTTACATCGATACAAGACCACAGTGCCACAAAGAACAATAGTTTCATTTTCACAGAAATTTTTTAACTGCATTATCTGACCTGCCCAAGTTAAATTCACGGAATTGTTTTCCTGTCAAAGTGTGACATGTGACAGCTTAATGGGCAAAAAAGACCAACATGGCTCTGTCTGCACTGACAGAAAAGCCGTATCAATCAGCCTTAAAGCTCTAGAGAATTCAAACACTTTACAGACGAAATCCTGCTGCTAGCAGATATAGCTTGGCCACAGACACAGATAGAGTGACCACTGAAATTGAGAGAAACAGATAGCTACATTTTTATTAAATTATGCCCTGAGGCATTGCTTGCCACCTTGATGCTCCTTTGAACTGTGTCTGGCCTTTTTTTGAGGAAGCAAAAATCTTACTGTTCACTGACTGTCAAATACTGTCAAAGCACATAACTTTTTCAGCTATAGTAGATAAAACGACTGAACTATAGTAACAACATTCACTACCAGGGTTCAGCTTAGTTCATCAATGTAATGCATTAGCACACCAAGTCTTCACTGTCCAAAATGTGGCAAATAAAACAACATATAAAATACATAGTCATATTAAATATTGCAGGTGATGAAAACTAGAACACTTTCACCATTAATAAATATCTACTATGATCATTCATTAATAAAAATGAGCATTACAAAAACAGAAAACAGAGGCCGAAAGCATTTCACTGGATACATAATAGAATTGTATGGTACAGTTGATATGAAGTTCTCTCATGTTTCACTGCCGTTTGTTTCCCAAAGCGTGTCTATAATTGATGAGCACAGACTTGAGAATTGTTCATGAAAATGGAATACCAATATGACAATAAAACATAGTCTAGAGTCAATAGTGTTCAAGGTCACTGAAAACTGCACTGTATATCCTTACATACATACTATTTACATCACCGTCCGTATGGCCAGTTTACAGAGTAAAGCATAACATATATTCAGGACCATAATGCACTTAACCAAGAACAAACAAAAGCTAACAATGGCTGCTAACTTTACTATACCTGAGCACATTACGCCAGGTATGCCTTACTAATGGTACTTTATCAAGTGTCTCAGAGTAAGAACATTAATCTGGGGTCAGTTCATGTGTTTGACTCAATGTTATAACAGCTTAAACTGATCCCAGATCAGCACTCTTATGCTCTCTGAAAAATAAGCCACAGCAACAAAACCTTTGAATTAACGTGCACAATGGTCAATTAGTAGACTAGCATGTTTATTATACCAACTCAAGTTTTGCCAAATGTAACGTATTTAACTGAAATTTAACTTACTACATTTGACAAAAATACCAGCAGTTTTGGGGTAGTTACTCAAAAAATAATCTGTTACAAGTTACTAATAGCTTCTCTCAAACTGTAATGTGATTATGTTACTTATTACTTCCTGGAAAAAAGTAATCTCATTACTTATTACTTCTATGTTACTCTGTAAATCTGCTTGTGCCAGCTATGCAAAGGGAAAACCCAATAGTCCTTTTCAGTATTTTATTTAGAAAGAAATAGTCAATCAAAACCTGTAAACTATCCAGTAGAAACAATTTAGCCTCCAAATAAAATATTTCTATTAAAATGTAAAGCTCACAGAGCTGTTTGTGAATAAAAATGAACACGGTCTGTTTAGGTGAGGTCAGGGCTCTCTTTGCTTCAGCACAGGGATCGTTATCCATCAGTTTCATATTAGCGTAATCAGATGCTTTGACAGTTTGTTTAACACACTTCATGTGCTTGCGTTGTGCTACTCATATTCACAATCAAGAGTAATGCAGTCAGCTGATGCAGGTAGCATGCATGCGTGCAAATTATGTAGGACAGGAATGGATGATAAATCAAAAGAGATAGTTTATGATTTAAATGCATTAAGCATAATTTATTTTCTTCTCTTAAATATGTACAAGTACCAAAAGTAACGCAATTCTTAATAACTCAGTGACTGTAATGTGATTGTAAGAATTTAAACCGGAATGTGTTATACAGTAATCACATTACTGTAATGCATCACTTGCCATATTATCCCCAACACTGCAAATGAGAAACTGTAATGCACAACTTTTTCAGGCAAAATACCTAAATATAAGGTGTGATCTTACCCTGCCTTATCCATGTTTGACTTCCTAGTTGAGTGACTTTGTGTAGCTTTGGCCTTTTTTGTTAAAGATTCAAAGATTTCCACCTCTCTCTAGTGATGCACGACTGGGGTCTTCTGGAGTCAACTCCAACTCTTGTCTCTGGAATTGAAGGACTTGACTCTCCAATTCCGCTTAATTTTAACAAAGAGCGCCAGAGCCAGTAATACAGGGTATAGCAGAGAGATGTAGGCATCCTTAATGTAGTTTACCTAACTTTTGAATTGCTCCACATTATAGTATGATGACAATTCAAAGATTAATTCAAAGAAATATCAGGTAGCTTGACGAATGATTACAGCTGATTAATATTTTAGCACATCCTTAACATAAGCCTAAGTCGAAAAGTTGATTCCAAGCAAATGGGACTCTCAGAGTCACTGACCAAGTCACTTGCATCACGTGACCACAGAGTCATGTGACCACATGGGCTGGGGCCAAAGAATCAATTCTTTTCAAATCAATGCTCTATCACTACTTCTCTCTATCTGTCTCTCTCTGTCACTGAATAGCTTGACTTTACCAGAATGCTGTACTTCTGTGGATCAGAAATCATTTTCCCTGACATAGTTCTGAGTGAAATTTGGTATTAGGGAGGGTCTCTGAGCCAGCTGACCGTTTTCCTGCATGGTAACATAATAAAAAATTAGAAGACCTTTTAGAGGCAGACAAAAAGAATTTACATTTTGATGGAAGATTACAGGAAAACAAAATGTTGTCTTTAAATGATGAATAGTACTTAATGTGACCATTGATTTGATTTTAGGTAGACACAACTGAAGCCAGTGAGCCGGTATGATGCTTATCCCTAAAACCATGATCAGCTACAAGAAGATAAATAAATAAATGAATAAAAACATATACCCCGTATATTCTAACAGTGTGATATTTCACAAACACCAACACTCAACATAAAAATGAATTAAATGCACTCTAAATATACACATTTCCACAAAAAGTTGGAGTTTGGGAGGTTAAAAGGGATTTGTGCCAACATTCCATAAAACTAGTAGCTACACAAGTGCTATTTTTTGGTATGGATAGGTCAATTGTATTGATGTAATGTATTTTATTAAATTTAAAGCAAATCACAATGCATATTCCTTCTTGCACTATGACATATTTCTGAGCAAAACATGGTCTTAGGGATGGATGGCTGTTGAGCTAGGTGAGAGTTTCACTCAGTGATGGGTGGGTATGGTGGGAGGGGGAGGTGAAACATGATATTATTAAATATTATTTTCTCCCACCTGCTGGTGATATAATAAAAAATCAGAAGATATTTTAGGGACAGGAAAAAGTCACTACATCTTGATGGAAGATTATGGGAAACTTTGTGTCTTCTTAATTATATGAGTCGATGAATTGTGCTTAATATGACCAGGGACATGAACTAACAAAAAAGTTAATTGTAATTTCAGGTTGACTTTAAATCAAGTAAATTCAAACCAAAGTGATCAGGAACATAAGAATGAGGTACATGAAAGTTACGTTTGTACTAATCTTTGTAGAAAGGTAGATCTTCTAGAGCAAGGTTAAGCAGTTTTACTTTAGAGCAGGGGTGTTTAATCCTGGACCTGGAGATCTACCATCCTGAATAGTTCAGCTCCCACCCAAATCTGGCACACCTGATCCAGTAAATGAAGGCCTTCAAGGACATCTCCAGGGCGGTAGACCTCCAGGGCACCTCTGCTATACAAGAAACTTAACTCCAGTCCTGGAGAGTGGCAGTCTAGCACAGTTTGGTAATTGTTCGAATCCACCTAATTCACCCCATGTACTAATTACCAGGTTTAGTAGATTAGGGGTTGCATAGACTAGTCAATAAGGAATCCACTAGTTGGTGCTGAAAAACTGCAGCGAACAGCTTGGAGGAGAGAACAGAAATCATTTGCGTGTGGAAATACTACACAAGATTAAACCAATTTCACTGCAAGCTGTGTAAAATTCAAATACATGCTGGTAAGCTGGACTGGGTAAATTTCAAAGTGCTTCTTGGATAGCAAAGGACCACTTGACTGACAGGCACATTGACCAATCACAGGTGTGACATGCCTAAAACAAAAACAAACTGCCGTTGCATAAAATGGAGTAGCGGTCGGCAAATGCACAGCGACCTTACTACCTACAACAAGACCTGTTCTGCAGTACACATCTCAACCCTTCAAACTGTAGCATCTAGCCCTAATTAGCAAGTTACTAAGAAGATACTTTTCACAAACAGTAGAAGTTTATAGTCATGCAACCTCTAGTGGGCAGAGAAATCACCAAACTTTGTTAGACTACAGCCCTTTAGGACCAGAGCTGAGTAGGTCCTCCTGCTGCTTTACACTATAGAATGGATTAGTTACTATAATGGATGACATTGAAACTCTTTTGAAACACAGTGCACTTATGCCTAGCCCTCTTGGTACAGATGGTTGCCGTTGGCTAGGCTGAAGCTGGCCACTGTGTGGTTCTGCGTGCTCTTCAGAGAGCTCATGCGTGTGTTACCACGCACCACACTATGGGTGCGCCGCGACAGAGGAGGACAGCAGCAGCACAGCTGTTTGTTGAACTGCTTCTGGAAACTCTTGCTCAGCAGGTACAGGGCGAATGGGTTGACGCATGAGTTGGTGAAGGCCAGAATACGTGCAGTCACACTGGCGATGAAATGGCTCATGGAGGCGTCCACCACGGAGTAGTGGTAGGAGCGGTACAGGTAGATCACATGATTGGGCAGCCAGCAGACAGCGAAAAGGCCCACAAACACCAGCACCGTCTTAGCCAGGCGCTTCCTTGACTCGATCTGAAGGTACAGAGGGAAAAGAGGATGGTTTAAAAGTAGCTGTCCTTTGCAAGTGTAGAGCTTCATCTCATCAAATCTAGAGTGGGGGAGGAAAGACAAATATTTTATGCTTCCAATAGGCGACAGGGTTTCAATTCCACTCCTGGGGACCCCCTAGGGGTCTAATTTCAGGGTTGCCAGATTGTTTCTATAGTTTTCAGCCAAATAAATTGTTAAAATCCCATCAAAAAGCATGACAAACTGCACAAAAGGTAAACATTAAAACAGTCTAATAACCATAATACAGAATAATACAGATTTTAACCGACATGACATTAATAATAAGCTGGTACATTATCCGCTGACATCTTGCCTTCGAAAATTTGTAGATAAGTTGTCGCTAGACGGCAGTGTCAGTCTTTTAAAAAAATATTTATCATTGCTACGAAGAACTTAATTTTGGTATCCATGTCAAACATGTAAGAAACGCTTGGACAAAGAAACTACTGCAATTTCTAATGCAATTTCAAGAAAATGATTAAATTATTTGATTTGTATGAGTATCTTATTTCCATAACACATCAATGTTTTAATTAACTCTTTTTAACGTGTTAATGTGATCCATGATCCCATCCAATAAAAAGGCAAACTAATAACCTCTTTACTGCAAGCACATTCCTCATACACACTTTCAAAAACTGCCTCATTTTTTTTATAACTCGGTGACCATTGTTTGTGTTTAGAGAGAAAAGATAGAATTTGTCAAACACATGATGCAAACAGTCACACAGTATGGTCTCTTAACGTTTATGTCTCGCTGTTCTATTCAGTCTAACAGAGTAAATTCGGCATATACAGACTTTGATAGGAAAGGCCAACTCTTTTGCCTCTGTTTGGCTGGCCTTTCTGTCTCCACCCAAATTGGGAAAGCGGTTATGATTGTGTGTTTAAAAAGGGGCCTTTATCGCATAGTGTGGGTCTGGCAAGAATATACCAAAGCACAATGTTTAAAGTGACCAGTGACTTTGTGTCCAACTGCCACGGTGTCAGTAACACTTCTCTGTGTGAGCAGATCTTCCTTCACTGCCAGCTTGAGCTGGTTGTTCATTAGCGTGGCAGTGCATACTGTGGGTATACTGTTGGTAATTAGCGCCTCTCTTAGTAAATCTGCCCCTAATCAAATTCATGAAGGGCATGATAATTAGATCAGGAATGCTAGAGCAGGAACAACCTAAAACTGTTTAGGACTGCAGTGTAACCCAGTACTGGAGTTAAAAAGCCATGAAGTAGTCTATTAGTTACATTTCAGGTATGGTTTCACTTGCCAGTCTACACTGGCAGTAGACTTCAGTCAAAAGCTATGCATTCCTCTTCTGGATTGTTCTGGAATCTCATATTGATGCCTCATATTCAGTATTACAGATTTAAAAAAAAAAAAAATATGACAGATGTAATATTATGCATTAAATAAGAAGAACTCAGAGGTCAAGCATTAGCAATATCTTATGAGAAAAGCTCATCCATGTTTTTGACTGAGATTTAACAGTTCTCATATATGAAGCTTTAATTCACTGCACGCAAAAATAGCTTCATTTTGGTGAGGGTCATGCTACACTACCATTATATCACTGTTAAAATGTCACAACTGCATAGGCATAATAATATAACATCTATAATCTAAAGTCTATAATAATAACAGAATCAGCTCATAAGGTACTGTGCAAATGTCAGAGACCATCCTTCATTTAATTTCCAGCCAAAAATGGCCATGATGTACAATGTACTCATCTTTTAGTGTCAGACAAAAAACAGAAAACATATCTTTAAGAATCTTTTTTTTTTTTTTCAGTATTTAGTTTTTCTAACTTTTGCCACTATCACAGCTTCCATTCTGTTTGGGAGACATTTTCAGTTTCCCAAAGGAATCTGCAGGGATATTTTCCACATCTCTACAGTTCAGTCTTAGAGGTTTGTTGCATTTATTGCTTCTCACAATCCAAGTAATCCCAAACACAATCAGTGATGTTGAAGTCTGGACCATGTGGTGGTCAGTCCATTATTCTAAGAACCCTAGCAGCTTCTTTGTTAAATTTGCCTTTTTCTTTTTTGTCCTTATTTTTGTCTTTTTCTTTTGTAAAGGCTGACAGTTACACATACTTTCATAGTACTGAGTCTTCTCACAGTGGAAGAATCGAAAGAAACACCTGTGATTTTTTTCAGATTTGAATCAGAGTACTCCAAGTACTGTTTATCTGTTGGTGACCGTTTTAGTGGTCTAGCATTTCTGGCATGGTTTTTAGGAATGCCATTTTCTTTCTATGTATACATCTTGTAATAATTTTTAGTAGGTTTTGGAAACTGTGTTTTCCTTGGATTTTCTCCTTCCATATGCAAGTGGATTATTTTATAACTAATCCCTTCAGAAATATATACTGAAAAATGGATAACTTCTACTTAAAGGTTGTTTAAATAAATAAGGGGGGTCTCTGATATTTGCACATTACTGTGTGTACTTTTTGAACTAATAGCATTCACATAACTGAGCTTTCAGATAATGTCAATTAATGTCAATTATTACATGCATTTCAGATCACTAGTTAAATACAAATGGAGCGCAATGAAATGGAATGAACAACAACTCATTGTTCATCACATTATTAGCCTTTGTTACTAAATAAGCATTTTACTCAATTGTAGTGGATGCAGTCTAGCAGTTACAGTACCAAAAATGAGTCCAGGCAGTTTATATAATTTCCATTCAGGACTCATTATACTGCGTATTGTGTGATAACCAGGTGCCATCACTAGATTTTCATCAACACAGTATTAAGTGTCTATAATATAACTGTGCCCTTATGACTGCAGTGCATCCTTTAACATTTTTAGTTTAGATTGGTGACATCGACATGTTAAAATTGGTGACAGCATCGGTATGATAGTGATACAGTGGTGTTATAACCTTCATCTTGTTGTAATCTTGTTATCAGCATTATTTTTTGGTCATCAATACTACCTAGTGGTTTCTACAGAGAGGTAAAAGAAGTATTGAGACATGTTTGCTTTTGCTATTTAATGTATGTCCAGTGAATATGTTCACTTCAAATTTAAACATGTCTCTTGAGTTAAGTACATATTTATAAGCATAAACAAAAATTCTACTTAAGTCTGGGCATATTCAGCTGTTTTTAGTGTATTTTATTTAGATATATGCTATTTAGACTTAGCAATATTGTAATTCTAATAGCATTTCCCATTTGGAAGTCCACTATTTGTCCTCACATCACCTCCTTGAATCCACATTCACTGCTGAATCATCTAGACAGTCTGGGGCTTGACTTCACACCTAACCACAGTGCCTTTGTTAGAGCTGTATAAAAGCTCATGCTTGTTGCTCAATCACCAGAGAACATTCTGTTCTGTAGCATCAGGGTCAGACTGTTCCACTACGATGGCCATCCATATTTGCAAATAAACCACACTGTCATCAATCAATGAGAAATTGGGATCTAACAAAAAAGTTTTTAGATATATTACATAAAAAAATCTGGATATTAATGCAGCAAAAAGTGTTCTTGAGCAAATTGCATCTGGTGTCATTACAAAAGGTCACTGGTTGGGAAAAACTTCATGCAACAAGTAGCAATCATGATGAAACTGAGGGCGGTCCTAAAGTTCTAAGAGACAACATTATAAACCAACACTTGAATGGAAAAAGCCATAAAAAAGAGCCATGGCAAGGACCCTAGAACATCCCTGCCAGTGCAACTGGTTCTATAATGTGCGAGTGGAAAGTTCATGGAACACAATCACGCTCCGAAAGGCAATATTTCACAAAATGCTCTCAGGCTAATGACAATTATGGTAAGAGAGAAGCCAACAGTCACTTGAAAAGCGTTCCAGACAATCTGAATATGACAGGAACAACAGTTACACAGAAAACAATAAGCAGTGAACTACACTGCCATGCCAGTGCTGAAAAAAGAAGCACAGAGATGTGCATCTAAAATTTGCACACAAACATTTGGGCAAATCTAAACTTTTTGGAACCAATGTTCTCTGGTCAGACGAAACAAAAAACTGAACTCAGAACTCATGTTTGGACAAAGAAGGTTACATGTATGATCCCAAGAACATCACGCCCACAGTGAAGTACAAAGATCATGAAATGGGGCTGCTTCTCTGCAAATGGTATGAAAGCATTACATGACATTGAAGAAAACATAAACAGAGCGATGTAATGGGACAAATTAGAGGAGAACATGGTGGCTCAATACTTCTTTCCCTGTCAAATTTTTTAAACATATCTTTTGAACGACCAGCATATTGGACATCTGTTTTTTTTTATTTTGTCATAAACAAAATCTAACATGGCAGCTTATAAGATAGACACTTACTGCCTCCTAGACCACATGACACATGGTTTCTAAATATTTCTCTATTTATTCTGTATATAATACAGTAGACTCATGCCCTCCAAAACTGTTATTTAAGATTTTTATTCTGTTAAAAGTAGAATTTTATGTTTATTTAGGGATCACAGTAGGTGATGGAGTGACAGTTTTGCTAATTTCAATGTATTTCACTAACACTGGCAATTTGGAATTGACACAAATCTGCGCAATTTTGAACATATGAACACAGTGGACATAGTTATCAGTGGTGAAGGTGGTGATTCAGCTGCATCGATTTTGGAAGGTTTGAATCGATTATTTTTTATAATAATTCTAAACCTATTCCAAATACAAAAAGCTAAGTTTATTGTCTTTAATGTCTATATTCCACTACTGTGTACATTTCTGCATTCAATGTATTACAACGTTGAATTCTGAATCGAGGTGAGATTTCATAATTTGTTGAATCATTTTTAAAATTTTTGTCTTGAATGAATTGAATCAATCTAAAGTCAGCGATTTACACACCTTGTATGAACTGAGATCAAGATCAAGAATTTGTGTCCAATATCACCTTACGCTTATCTCAATGACGCATGCAGGCCTTTTCAAACTAGGGTGTATTTACAGCCAGATCGCATAAAGACTAAACTATTCATAGGCAGACCACACAGAGCGCTTAAATGTATAATTACGGCTGAATATTTGCAGAACTCCTTACAGCTTGGTAATTAGACACATGATTCTTTTCACATGCACAGTGTGGGTGAGCAGATTAGGGATATTATATTCAGATGCAACTTCAGATTTCATTGTTGTGGGTCTCAGGGTTCCGTTGGCAACAGCTTTTGCTAATCTCTACATCATAGTTCTTTTTGTCAAAGTTGGGTGTTCTGAACACCTGCTGTATGCATGCATTGTAATAACTGTCAAGCTGAGCTGCTGTTGCATAACTGTTGTAGCTATCACTTCAGTATTCTGGGCACTCCAGCCAGTATGTATTTTTTTGCTCATTTTCAGCTCTCAACACACCTGGCTGTAGGTGGAAGGTTGTAGACTGAAGATGTATTGTTTTGCCTTGAACCAATATAAAAACACAAAAAAGGACTTCTAGTTATTGTTATTACTGATGTCAAGGTTAACAAAACATTTCAATGCCTTGAAGAATTTGAAGCACCTCACCTGTCTCCTAATGGCTATGTTCCCCTCCACAGGCATGTTAGTCGCACTCCGAATCAGACTCCTGGCGATGAAGAAGTAGTACACAGAGATGATGAAGAGAGGAATGACATAGAAAATAAGGAAGGAGGCCATGGAGTGGATTTTGGGGTGGAGATCCTCCCCATGAGGGAATGGAGCACATGTTATGAAGGTTTCATTGGTGCCTGAGATGTGGAAAGGGTGCAGGTCAGAGAAGATGGCTTCTGGGATGGCCAGGACCATGGACAAGAGCCAGATTGCAGAAGCCCTCAAGCAGATCCGGGCTGTGGCAAGGGACATTGGGATGTCCATGGGTTTCACAATGGCTTTATATCTGTAAGAGAAAGAAAAGAAATTCTTCATTACCAAAGGTGCGCAGGAATCTTTCAAAATACAATAAGTATAGATGCTCAAGTTCCTTGAGCTGCACTGCACTGCACTGTCTGGGTTTCAGTCTCATTTGAGTAGCTGACAGCAGTTTGTGAGAGGTAATGGGATGCAATCAGCCCCAACCACTGTCACCAATGGTGTTCTATAGGGATCAGTAATCGAGTCTTTTTTTTTTTTGTATCTATATGCTCCCACTCGGTCACATTATTCATCAGCATGGCTTGAGCTATCTTCTATATGCTGATGGTACATTTGCACAAAGCCAGATATTCCTTCCATTTTGAATACACTTTTTAATACATTGTTTGAGGGATATTAGAACCTAGTTGTGCAGTAGTTTCCTTAAACTAAATTCTGTTAAAACTGATGTAATTCTTATTAGCCCCAGGTCACAAGATAAGCACAAGATACTACTTCTTACTTATAAGGCTCTACATGACACTGCTGCTGACTACATATCTGAAAAAGTATCTCTTTACTGTCCATCTTGCTTGCTCCCCCATTCAGCTAGGTCTGAATTGCTAGTTGCACCCAAGACCAGGCTTTGTTCTATGGGAGATGCTTTCTCTTCTGCTGCTCCATACCTGTGGAGTCAGCTCACTGATAGCATCCGAGCAGCAGATTGTTTTAAGTCTTTTAAACGTCTTGGTAAAATGTATATTTTTAGGGAGGCATGTTGTTCTTCTAAAGTTGATTTATCTGTCTATATATTTTTTTTACATAGATGTCTATACTTGACTTTATTTTGTATGTGTTTTATGGATGTGTGTAAAGCACTTCAAGCTCTTGGAGAAGGCACTATACAGTTGGGTGCAAAAGTTTTGGCTTAATTACATTTTTATCTTTGAAGTGAAAACAAATAAACATAACCTCTGCAGCAAACAAAAATTTTATAATTTTTTAACTAAATGTTAACATAAGACTATATTTGATTATAAAATAGCAATTGTGGCATGTGCAAAAGTTTTGAAACCCAACTATGTCACTTAGTAATACAGGTTTTGGCAGATTTCACAGCTTGCGAACAATTTTTGTAGCCAGCTAGAGTCTTTCTGTTCTTGTTTTTAGGAATTTTCACCCACTCTTCCTTGCAGCGCTTCTAGTTCTTTGATATTTTAGAGCTGTCTTGCATGCACAGCATTTTTTAAATCTACCTGCTGATTTACAATGATGTTCAAGTCAGGATATTGTGAGGGCCATTCCAAAAGTTTCAGCTTGCATTTCTTGAAATAGTTCATGGTGGATTTTGAGGAACGTTTTGGGTCACTGTCCTGTCGTAGAGGCCAGCTTTTCAGCTTCAGTTTCTTGACTGTCTGTGTCGCATTTGCTTCCAGAATTTGCTCACATTTACTGGCATCTATTCTTCCATCTACCCTTGTTTCATGTGTCACTGGCTGCCACACAACCCCAAAGCATAATAGATCCACCTCATGCTTAACAGTTGGCAAGGTGTTTTCTTCATCAAATGATGCTCCTTTTTTTCTCCAAACATACCTTTGGTGATCGTGGCTAAAAAATTTAAATTTTTATTTCATCAGTCCACAGCACTTGTTTCCAGCATTCATTTGGCTTATCTGGGTGTTGTTTTTGCATACTTTAGATTTTGACTTTCATGATGAGGTTCCACGTAAGGTTTTATGGCCTCCCCCTGCTTTTATCTTCTCTCCTGCTTTGTATGCACAAATTAGCTGCATTTTCATAACTGCAGCCAACTACTTAGAGAAGCCCATGGTCGTTGTGTGCTAACACAAAGTTTGAAGAGTCAGAGAATTTATTATGCACTGAAATTGTCTTCAGCCATTTCCTAATAACAATTCTTGACCTGCCTGAATAGTCTGAACAGTTAAGGCCTGACAAGCTAAATTTTGAGAACTTGGAATGGTTTCCAGACCTTTGCACCCACCACGATTACTTTTTTTTTATATTTTTAAAGTATTCAAATATAAAGTAACTGTACATTGACATTTGCAGAAAAAAAAAATCAAAAATAGTTTGTTGCTGACATTGTATTTACTTCTTTTTACTTCAAATATCAACCAAATATGTAATTGGTGGGGTGCCCAAACTTTTGCAAACAACTGTATACAAAGAAAATGTATTATTATTTTTGTTACAACATTTTGTAATGCACTCTTTAAAATAAAGGATGCTGTTTGCTCTTTGAAGCAAAACCATAAACGAGCGACTTTTGGTTTTAAAGAACCCTTTAACTGAATGGTTGGCTTTGGTTGCAAAGTTTTTCAGGTTCTTCTATGGCATTGCTCCAAAGATCCCTTTCTTGGCACCTTTGCTTTTAATAGTGTAGTTTTGGACTGTTCAAACTTCCATCATCATCATCACTTTTATTTATATAACGCCTTTCCCATGCTCAAGGACACTTAACAATCAAAGAACATCAACACATTAAACATCAATACATTAAACAAGAGGACAATACAGGAAAATATTCAAGTATAAATGGGACAATGATAACACAGTGAAAACAAGTAAGTCTTTAACAGAGATTTAAATGAAGACAGAGAGGTTGCATCCCGAATAGACTGAGGGAGAGTATTCCATAATTTGGGAGCTACTACATTAAATGATCAACCACCCATAGAAGTCAATTTAAACCTTGGAACATGAAGAAGGCCTAAATTTTGTGACTTTAAAGTATGGGATGGGACATATAGATGAAGAACCTCTGCCAAGTATTGAGGAGCCAGACCATGCAAAGCTTTATATGTTATAAGGAGAACCTTGTACTGAACACAGAATGTAATGGGCAACCAGTGAAGACTCACAGGGGTGATGTGGTCATTCTTTTTTGAAAAGGTGACGGTCCTAGCAGCGGCATTTTGAACATACTGTTCCCAGTATATTTCTTTTCATTTCTCAGTATTTGCATATTCATCTCTATATGTGCTTCATAAATTTAATAAGCATGAAGCACTTTGTTGGAAATGAACTCACATTTTAAAAGAATTCCACATCAATAAATCTTGGCAAAAAGCTAAATCAGAATGTCATTTTGTAAAATAATCTAGTCACAGCTTCACAAAAGCCACATTAATGCTTCCAATAAGACATGGTAACTCAAAGTACCCTTGTACGTGCTCTACTTGCACCTTGGCAAAGCAAAACTATCTTCTCTCTTCATGAGAGCCATCTGTCCTGTTTCAAAATCTCATCATTACACACATTTCTTAGAGAAAATGGCTTTTCAAGTGTCTCTTCTGAACAAAGTGGGTGAGAAAGCTCTTGTCACTTTTATGATTTCTATTTTTGGAATTCTTACTGGGTATTTTATTTCTGATTAGTTTTTTCTATCTACTGACTAAGTATATTTTTGTAAAGCTTGCCCTGTTGCTCTCTCTTGACTCTTGCTGCTCTATATCATCCATCCATCCATCCATCCATCCACCCATCCAACCAATCATAATTTTACATAGCAAAATCCCTAGAGTTGAAATTCACTCTCGTCATTTGTGTCCAGCTGGATTTAAGTAAACATTGTATGCGTTAATTAAATACTGTATTTTTAAATTGAAAATAGTTCTTCAAGGGTTCTTTGGTAAAGGGTGTGGTTACATATTGAACTGTGAATACTTAAAGAACCTTTCGAATCCATTAATGGCTCTTCACCATGATGGAAAATCTGTTGCATAGCCCCAAAGTGTTTTGTTGTTGGAAGTCAAAGAACATTTTTTCCCATTGCACCTGCCAATACCTTGTTGTTCTCTCCTGACGCCTTCACAGTGAAGAACAGATGTAAAACATTTTGGTGATTGATGCCAGGATAATTTATTCAGAATTGTAATTGTTTCTGCTCCTCTCTGCTCTACACATGAAAGGTTAGAACACTTTCAATCAGCCAGTTAATCATTTCACAATTTTCAAAATTGGCACCCAGTCATCATGTGACAAAGCTTCACAGTGGCAATCATGTCACAGCTTCTAAATGCGGTAATGTTAGGTTAATTTCCAGCTTCCCAGTCATACATCTGACTTTGGAACTAAACACATTCCATAAAAGAGCCAATGAAATAACCAGATTGTAAGACATAATCCAATCCAATTGGATAACTCTTGCCAAACTAGGCTCAGAATATTTACGAGAGCAATATCACACCAAATCCATGTTGTACGGTTTACTGTAATGTCTGCAGACATTAGCAGGAGAAGCCAAGCATGGCTGTTTTCCATCAAGTCACTGGATCATTCTGTTCGTTCCAGAAGACTGAGGGAACATGTACCTCAGCGACAGTCCACACAGCAAGCTCCCAGTGCTGAAGGAATGCCCCTGCAATTCCCTGTACTTAGTAAAAGAAAAGAAAACCTGTTTATTTGATACACACCTATAATACAAGCCAATGGACAGTTGTTTTAGCACCTGCTCAGTGGCTTCTATTATAAGTTTTCAGGTTTTCTATTTTTCAAGTACAGGGAAACACACTGACATTATTGTCAGTGGTAATGATCATATGCTTTTATTGCTGTTGTCACCAATCCTCGTATGTCCAAAATGGTAGCTTTACAGGAGAAGGAAAAACTTAAAATTTAAAATGAAGATAATGGAAAGCACTCTTTTTTTCTAAGTAATGTTTGAGCATTTTTTGCTTCATTCATTATCAAATTTTAACACATCATAAATGACAACTAGTATTTCCAAGGGTGAAGGTTTTATTCTGACAGTAACAATACGGATGTGGCGGGTAGAGATTAGGTTGAAAAATGCTGGACTATTCCTTTGACATCTGCAATGTTCACAGGTATCCGCTCAGTTCAGCTGGACCCATCTGAGCACAGTGAGAGAGAATTGAAAGCTGGGGAATGGACATTGAACGGTACTTATTGATCACAAAGAAAGAATGCAGAATATGACAGTTTTAGCCTTCTGTTACATATTTCATTTTATTGATCATGACTCACTGATTTCAGCTATTTTTACTATTTTCTCATTTTTGTGACATCCATCTATCCATCCATCCATCCATCCATCTATCCATCCAATCAAAATATTACACAGCTAAATCTCCAGTGTTGAAATTCAGGCTTAGAGTGGTCATTTGTGTGCAGCTGGATTTAAATGACCACCATAGGTGTTCATTTAACACTAAGTGTTACTAATTCAACAACATCAGTGTAATAGCAAAATCCTCACTGGTTAATTCAGTGTTTATCTGTGTCCAGCTGGATTTAAGTGATGATTGTAGGCATTAAATAAATACTGTATGTGTTAATTGGAAATTGGAAATTGGAAATTCTTCAGCAAAGTCAGTGGTTATCCACTGAACAGTGAGCACTCAAATACCCATCTGAATGCAAAAATCTTTTTTCTCTGCGATGGGCAACTTGTTATACGGCCTTAAAAAAGAGGTTCTTCAGGTGTTCTTCTTAGCAAAGACAACGGTTATACACAGAACCTCAAACACTCAAAGAACCATTTGAATGCATAGGTGGTTCTTCACTATGATGGAAAATATGTCGTATAGCTCCAAAAGGGTTTTGCAATTGTAAGTCAGAACACTTTTTGGTATGACACGGAACCCTTTTTTGCTTTGAAGAATGTTTTTAATACCAAAACAGGGTTCCACACTTGTTACATGCCAGAGAATTTTTTTTGGTACTATACACAAAAAATGTGGTCATTTTGCTGTGCATTTTCTCATTATACTGAAAAAATAAACGTGGTATTGAATTGACTTGAACGTGTAAATCAGTTCCACATGGATGAAATGTATTATCATTTTTATATTACTTACTTTTGGCTATAACTATGCTGATAAAATCTCGTTTATTCATGTGGAACCAGTGCACGCATTTGAACTGATTCAACTGAAAGCAATCCTGCAGAGCAGTTTTATAGTTGCAAATTCATTTTGTCCCTGGAGCTCTTTAAAGAGTTTTGGGAGCTCTGCCTGTCCTGTACCGAGACACAAACATGCATACAAGTCTCCCACCTGTCCGCCGCCAGCGCGGTGAGGGTGAACACAGACACCCCGACGGAAGTGAGCTGGATGAAGGGAATGAGCTTGCAGCCCACCCTGCCAAAGAGCCACTCGCTCGCCAGGATGCGGCAGGCGTCCACGGGCGCGCACGTCACCAGCAGCAGCACGTCGCCGAAAGCCAGGCTGGACATAAAGAGGTTGGGCACGTTGCGCATGGACTTGGCCGTGCAAAAGGTTCGGATGAGCGTCACGTTGCCCACGAGCCCCACGGCGATGATGAGCGCGTACACGGCGGCGATGAAGACGCCCGCGTGCCACACAGGTGACCCCGAGGGGTCCGGCACGCTCCTGCAGTCCCACGATTCATTGGACGTCAACTTCTCCTCATGGGTCGACACAAACGCTTCCTCTAAAGACATGTTTAGCTAGTGCTGGGACATTTTTTGTAGAAGTCGTTTGGTTCCTTTACGTCCTTTAGATACAAAAAAACTCGCTCAAGTACTTAAAACTCTACAGCGCGAAAATCCTCAAGTTCCTGGTAGGCTGCTTCTTACACATCTGTCCACAGTTCCTCACCTGAACGCAGAGAGAGCCAATGGGTGACGCGAGCCACTCTGTCTCACGTTTGAGCTTCAGCGTTGTTTTTCCTCATCCTTATTCCGGCAGACTCCGCCTCCTGCGCCGGGATTGGCCAGGAGTTCACACTAGCCGAACGTGGCGCAGGTGGCGATCGTGGAAAACGTCCACACATTGAATTATATTGATTGAAATGTGCGCAGAGTGTCCACATCTTTGAAAAACTGCTTCAGTGACATGGGGAAGCCCATTATTTTCTTTCGTTTTGTTTTGTTTTTTAGCAGTGTCTATTTGCGCTAGGTGAAAATAGCATTAATCACACAGTTAAGGGACTTGCCTTAACTAAGCCTGGTAAATCATGTGCCTTCAGAACACCAAAGAGCTTGTTTCTGCGTAAATTTTCATACTAAACAAAGAGAAGGCAGCATTGGGAGAATGCTATATTCAAAGGATAACTGGAGATGAAGGTTATTTAGTATTATGAAAAAATCCTTGCTGCTCCCCTGCCCACCCTGGGCACCCTGGGCAGGCAAAATTATTACACACCACATTCTAGTTCAGCTCCTCCTCCCCGGCAGGCACTACAGAACCCTACATACTAAGACTGCCATACACAGGAGCAGTTTCTGTCCTCATGCCATCACCCTCATAAATAGCTGACCACTAATATCATCTGCTGATCCATAGCTGCTCCTGTTGTTTTTTTTTCCCTCCAGATAGTTATTACACCCTGCTGCAGACCACTGTGCACCACAATGTCTTTCTTATACACAATGTAGATTACTGTGTTTGCACTACCACACACACTCATATTGCTTGCCCCTACATAATCTGTATGCTGCTTGTATATTGTGCATTGTCTGTATAAAACTTGTCCATAAATAGTCTGCATATTGCTCATATAACATAAATATTGTACATTGTGTATTGTGTGTAAATTAATTGTACATTGTTTGTATATTGCAATTAATTATTTAAAACAGAGACACCAACAGCTGGAACCAAATTCCTTGTGTGTGTCAACATACTTAGACAATAAATATAATTCTGATTCGGATAAACCAGAACATAAGTAAGAGTAATTTTTAGATGCTGCGCAATAAGTATTAAATAAATAAATATGTAAAATTCCAATCTAACAAAAACATCTGCTAAAGCTGAAACATTGCCTAGGACAGTGAAATGATTGGTATAGTGCAGTGGAAGGCACCACTGCCCTTCATGTTTAAGACTGGGGTTTGATTCCCCATCTGGACAATAGGGGAATATGCACACTATTTAAACAGTCATTGCTTTGGCATTACAATGTGGCAAATCAGGGTTTTTAAAAATTTGATTTAAGACAGTTTAAGTCGAGAGAGTACTTGTCATGTTTGTGAATTATTATAAACTCTCCACTATTGTTGTCTTAAATGATAAATAAAAAATGTTCAGTTACTCCTTCAAATTAGATTGGGTTGGGGCTTGGTATGAATGACCTCAAGTACAGCTTGGAAGAAAAGCAGAACAATTTTATTATTATTTCATAGGCTAATACAATGAATTAGTATTAAGAAATAGTGTAAAGTAGCATGTTCTGATGTAAGAGTAAACAGTATGATGTTACTATGAACACTAAGTGTGAATAGTAAAATCATGCTACTTACACTAAGTGTACATAGCAACATCATTCTGGTTGCACTTAGAGTAAATGGCATCTGCCATCTTTTTTTTCCCCCATAGAGAAAATATTGGAACTTTTTATTTGGACAGCTACCCTTTTACAGCTTTGCACAGATTAATAGCCTACAGTATCACTTTTATGATTGACAAAGAGAATGAAGCATTGATTTTAAAAAGGACAGGGCCATAGACTGTAACATTTAAATTTTATACTGATATGAAGGACAGCCTTGGACTAAGTGACATTTTCAAATGGGATATGTCATTACTAAATACTAATGCTAAATACAAAAGATGGATTGAGTGTACAAAAATCTACCCTGAAAAAATGATGCAAAATATGATTTATTAAGTACAATACGTCTATACTCCTAAATCTCTTCAAGTAGGCAAATACTGCTATTACTACTACTGTTATTGCTACTACTTCTACTATTATTACTACCACTACTACTACTATGATTACACCTGCTACTACTATTGCTACCACTACTACTATTGCTACTATTATTACTACTACTACTATGACTACTACTATTACTACTACTACAACTACTACTACTACTACTACTATTACTACTATTGTTACTACCACTACTACTATTACTACTGTTATTACTACTGCTACTACTATGACTACTACTATTACTACTACTACTACTATTACTACTATTATTACTACTACTGTTACTACTACTGTTACTGTTGTTGTGGCTTCTGTGCAATTTCCTGTTAAATATAACATCACTGTTAGTACTAGTGTGTTCATCCTGTTCCTTTATTACAGCTTCCAATCCTTTTCAGAAGGCTTGCTTTCTGTTTTCTGCAGGGCTATTTTTCCACACCTCCAAAGTTCAGTCTTCGAAGTTGGTTGCATGTTCTGCTTCTCATGATCCAAGTAAACACACATTCAATGATGTTGAGGGTCTGGGCTCTGGGGTGGTCACTCCATTGTTCTGAGAACATCAGCAACACCTTTGTTTGATTTGCAAAAGTTTCTTCTTTTTTGTCTATTTCCTTTCTTATTGACATCTACTCATCATCTCAAACCCACAGCGTGGAGTGGTCTTCTCACAGTGTAAGAAAACACCTGTGTGTTCTTTCACTGTGAGAAGAGCTATCATCTCCAATTTTACATATACCAGGTGGACTAACAAGGTAGGAGTGTCTAATAGAGTGGACAGTACCACAGTGTTCAAAAACTGTTGCAGCACTGCTGTATCTGATCCACTTCTACCAGCACATACTAACATATCACTGCCATGTCAGTGTCACCGTAGTGCTGAGAACCCCCAAATAATACCAGCTCGGATGTTGGTTGTGTGGGCATCCTAGCCATTGATGAATGAGGTAAATAAAAGCAAACAAAGTATGCAGGTGCACCTATATGATAAAGCACTTGATAAAAAGGTCAATCAGTCCATGTGCCTAATAAAGTGGTCAGCAAAAATATAACTGTAGTATAACAAACAAGGATTAATCATACACTAGAAATGATACATATTTCCATTCTCTGTAACTCTGCTTGCCGTTCATGTAAACTAAAAGTGCTGGCCCTATTTTACCCCTTGCGATGCAGTAAAAAAACAAACCTCTGATCGAAATACAAGCATGCGAATCACAAGAATTCTGGAACTATGTTTCCACTTGCCTTTTCTACTATTCCATTTCCTGTGATTTGAAGGTAGGGAGGCCTATTATTTCCATGAGTGTCAACATTGTGGGAAAAAGTATTATTCATTTTATTTGGTGTTCAGCACTGATATCATGAAAATGTGATGAGCCTATCTGTTTCTGTTTTTATTGCATGATGAAATCTAACTGTTTGTCTGCTTTGCTATCAAAATATCTTCTTATTTTTTTTCTGACAAAGACGAAAGTCACTCTAAAGGCTTTAATGAACTATATCAAACAATGATGCCTCCCATCTGACATTAACCCTTCCTGTCCTTTTTAACTGTATGCTTGGAACAGCTGCCTCCTGTTTTTAGAGACTACTGGTAGAGACAATACGATTTATACAGAACTTCCAGTGCCATCCATTTGGATTCGGAAACATGCTTCTCAACCTACTGAGTCCCAGCCGTTCTACCTAACATCACTAACCAATGTAACTCTGATTAGCAGTATTAATCTGTAAACACTGTTAGCAAGCTAGCTAAATGTGAATTCATTTAACAAAAGTGTTGGCAAAACATCATTGTTATGCAAAGCTGTCAAAATCATTTAAAATCATTTACCTGCAGGCGTATAATCAAACATTTGATCTACCTAATGCAGTGATAAAAACTGTATATGACCATACAAACTTCACCAAATACATATCTATGTGACAGAATGTTCTGAAATTGCTTCCAAATGGCAAATAATCTAGGCCACTTCAAGATGAGGCATAATTAACAAATTCAAATTATTTAGCATTTAAAATGCTAATTTAGTTGTGCATTTCCAATTGCATTTCCCATGTAAGTGTGCATTATTACAGACATCATTTCAATTCAAATGCAAAATGTGTATTTGCTTTAGCGTTTCTGGGTATAATGACTCGAAAAAAATGTATATGGAAAAGCAAAACACTTTTGACATTTCATTTCCATTATCTTAACGGTACAACTCTCACATACTTAAAACGAAATAACAATCGTCCATTTGCAATTGCATTTCCTCAGCGTGCTCTAGCTCTGCCAAAATGAAAATCCATTTGCATTACTGTTTGCAATGTAATTCTTTTGTGTACTAACTTTGTTGCATTTCTTTATGAATATATTGAAGTTCACCAAAATTCATACATGTCTACCTGAGGTGCTCCCAGAGTTGTTGATTGACAGCTCTGATATGTATGATTCATCCAATAACATTGCGAAAATTGTTACCAGAAATCAAGGGAAGTAAGGTCAGGATGGGATGTATGATTAGACTTGACAAGCCACGGCACTCAAAAACAGCGAGCTTAACTCGTCTCTCTGAATGAAAACAACAGAGAAAGCTCTTCTCTTGGGTTTATAGGTTTTCTAACAGTTAAATGGATTTCCTGAAGACTGTATTGAAAGAAATTTACAGTCTTATCAATTTACAGCGTTGGAGCTCAGCTCTGTTTACCAATCTCACAATAAAGCTCTGGCCTAATTTAACCCATACTCACAGGACCCCTTGGTGGAGCCACTACAGCTTGTTCATTGGG